CACTGGCCGCTCCCAGCTCTGAGGCTGTGCTGGCTGAAAGCAGGCTTCTGGGTTTGTTTAGGTTCTATAATTGTAACATTGTTGCATTCGGAGCTCAGAGCTGGGCAGCAGCAGGCGGGGAACCTTGGCTTCCTCCATCACTGGAACAAGCAAGCCTCCTGTTTGCTTCAGCTGTCTGGCTGCCGGCCGCCATCTTGGCTGGCAGTTAATTTGCGTATCGCCCTGATTAGCCAATGGGAAGGAAAACGAAGTTATGGTTAATTGCCATGTTTGTCTATTATTAGATAGGATGTTTAATTCCTGTTAAACTAGCCAGTTAAGTTTTCATTTCAAATCCTTTCTTTTCAGTTCTAGAATTTTCATTTGTTTCTTTTTTTTAAATTAAATCTTTATTGTTCAGATTATTACAGTTGTTCCTCTTTTTTCCCCCCATAGCTCCCCTCCACCCGGTTCCCAACCCACCCTCTGCCCTGACCACCCCCCCCTCCTCAACTGTCCTCATCCATAAGAGCCCCAGGCCCCGCCACAGTTCTGTCTCCACCTTTTAGTACCCTATTCTCCAACCACAGAGGAAAGAAATAAGGAAGGAGTCTGTGCTGCCTTCAGAAAGTATCTATATACCTGATCGGCCAGTTGCCTTCCACAGAGGGAGGCCAGACCGGCATAGGCCCGCTCCCCACAGGGACATCAGTAGGACATCCTGTGAGGGCTCCCAGACTGTTAGAGGGGGCAGGTTGGGCTGAGGGATGCCCCCGAGTGCACAACTTTTTGTGCACCAGGCCTCTAGTTTATACTAATAAAAAAAGAATATGCTAATTAGACTTGGAGACCTTTTGGAGACCTTCTGGATGTCCTTCTGGACAAAGCCTGGGGCTTGGCCAGCCTGCAAACTGCCCCCAAACGGCCTTCAGCCCCTCACCCAGGCTGGCCATTGCCCCCAGCAGGGACCCTCACCCCAGTGGAAGTGTGGCCAACTGCAAACAGTATGCGGATGCACATTGTGAAGTACTTGCTGGTAGGACACTAGCAACAGCCTGCGTGACCACTAGGACAGTGAGCCTGAGCCACAGGACAGTGTGGCATGCCATTAGGCTCCCCAAGCAGGAGGCAGGTCTGTATTCGCCGAGACACTGCACGTCTTTGGTTTAGTATCTTCGGTTGATGGATGAATGAATTTACAAAATCCTGAGGTATATATTATAGAATATTATTAAACCACAAAAAATGAAATGTTGAAACTTGTAACAGCATAGATGAATCCTGAGAGCATTATGTTAAGTGAAATAAGTCTAAAAGAGGAAAACAAGTACTGTATGATCTCACTTATATGGAGAATCTAAAAAAAACTTAAATAATAGAGCAGAAAACAGATTGATGGTTTCCAGAGGCAGCAGGTGGAGGGTAAGGATAATAGGTGAAGATGGTCAATGGGTACAAACTTTCAGTAATAAGTTGTGGGAATGTAATGTATGGCATGATGACTATAGTTAACACTGTACTGCATATTTGAAAATTGCTAAGAGAGTAGATTTCTAAAGTTCTCATTGCAAGAAATATTCTATTTAAGAATAGCCTCAGTGGTGTCGCCCAATGCCCTCGCACGACATCATCACAAAATGGCTGTCATGACGTTGTCACAAGATGGCCAGGGGGGGCAATTGGGTGCAATCAGCCTGGCAGGGGCAGGCAGTTGGGGGTGCTCAGGCCAGAAGGGGGTGCAGTTGAGGTTGATCAGGCCGGCAGGCAGAGTGGTTAGGAGTGGTCAGGCAGGCAGGCAGGTGAGTGGTTAGGAGCCAGCATTCCCAGATTGTGAGAGGGATCCCAGATTGGAGAAGGGTGCAGGCCAGGCTGAGGGATACCCCCCCCCTCACAAATTTCGTACACCAGGCCACTAGTAATAAAATAAAATAAAAGAAAGAAAACTAGAATTACTTCCAAAAAGGGGGGGTACATCCTGATTGGTCTAAGCTAATATACATCAATTTCAATCCCTCTTCTCAGTGGTTTGTATAGACATAGATATGCTGCAATCTTGGTCAATGAGACATAAAGAAAAACCATTGAGAACTTCTGGAAAAGGTTTACTAAATTTTTTTTAAAGACAAAATAAAATGAAGCGCTTTTTCTTCTTTTAGATGTTTTAAAGTCTGAGCATGATCACTAGGGATGAAATCTGAAGAACACAGAAGGATGGAAAGATGCTGGCCCCTTGATTCAGCTACTGAATTGGAAAACCCTAGGCTAGTCACTCTTTCTTCAAACATGTAAGATATCACACCTCTGCATTGTTAAAACAGATTTATGACACATAAATAAAGTCAGTTTAATTGATAAAAATTCCAGAATGTAGAGGACATGGTGCTCAGTCAGCTCTCTTGATCTAGATAGAAATTGCAAGTTTACATTCCCAGTGACTGAGGATGACTGAGATAAAAGACATGAATAGAATCAACTGGTCTTGAGGTTCTGAATGGAACACTGGTATAAAGTTATTTTGGGGTTAGAACCAATAGATCTCTAATATTCTTTGGGTCTGAACTGGCAGCAGCTGGTAAGACAGAAAATAGGTACTTTTTAAGGCACTCATATTTTTGAGGGCCTGGTCTCTAGAAGTTGACATCCTTAGGTTGGTATGGGTGGAAGAACTGGCTGAAAAAATTATGATAATTTATGTGCCATAAAGTTTATCATTTTAAAGTGTATAATTCTATGAGTTTTAGTAATTACAAGTCTACAATCACCACCACTATCTAATTAGAGAACATTTTCCATCCATCAATTAATAGACATTTGGGTTATGTCTACTTTTTGGCTGTGATGAATAGTTCTATGAACTTTTCTGTATAAGTTTTGGTATGAATATGTTTTTATTTCTCTTGGGCATATATCTACAAATATAAAAGCTGGTCATGACAATTTTATTTTTAACCTTTTTATTTTTAACCACTGTTTTTTAAAAATTAAATTTATCAGGGTGACATTGGTTAATAAAGTTACATAAGTTTCAGGTATACAGTTCTATAATACATCATCTGTATGATATATTGTATTGTGTGTTTGCCACCCCAAGTCAAGTCTCCATTGCCATTTATCCCCCTTTTACACTCTTCTACCTTTCCCCACTCCCCATTTCCTCTGCCATTCACCATACTGTTGTTTGTCAATGAGTCTTTCTCTTTTTCTTTGCTTTTGTTTTTATAATTTAAAAAAAATTTTCAGTTACAGTTGACATGCCATATCATATTAGTTTCAGGTATACAGCATAGTGGATAAACATTTACATAACTTATGAAGTGATACCTCTAATAAATCTAGTACCTCCCTGACACCATACATAGTTATTGCAATGTTATTTAATATATTTTTATGTTGTAATTTACATCCCTGTGACTATTTTGTAACTGCCAATTTGTACTACTTAATCATTTCACCTTTTTATCCAGCCCTCGCACCCTCTCCCTTCTGGCAACAATCAGTTTGCTCTCTGTATCTATGAGTCTGTTTCTGTTTTGTTTGTTTATTTTGTTTTTAAGATTCCACATATAAGTGAAATCATGTGGTATTTGTCTTTCTCTATCACACATATTTCACTTAGCATAATACCCCTTAGGTCAGCAGTTCTCAACCTGTGGGTCGCGACCCTTTGGGAGTCAAACGACCCTTACACAAGGGTCGCCTAAGACCATCCTGCATATCAGATATTTACATTACAATTCATATTGGTAGCAACATTACAGTTATGAAGTAGCAACGAAAATAATTTTATGGTTGGGTCACAACATGAGGAACTGTATTTAAAGGGCCAGAAGGTTGAGAACCACTGCCTTAGGTCCATCCATGTTGTTGCAGATGGTAATATTTCATTCTTTTTTATGGCCAAGTAATAGTCCATTATATATATGTATCACATCATCTTTAATCATTTATCAGTGCATACTTACATTGCTTCTATATCTTGGCTATTGTCAACAATGCTGCAATGAACATAGTAATGCATATATATCTTTTTAAATTTGTGTTTTACTACCAGACTGTTTTCAGTAGCAGTTGCACCATTTTGCATTTCTACCAGCAGTGCATGAGGTTTGTTCATATCCTTGTCAACACTTGTTATTGTCTGTTTTATTTTTATTATAGCCATCCTAGTGGGTGTGAAGTGGTATCTCATTGTGGTTTTGATTGGCATTTACCTAATGACTAGTGATGTTGACATCTTTTCCTGTGTTATTGTCCATTTGCATATATTCTTAAAAGAAATGTCCAAATCCTTTGCCCATTTTGAGTTATTTATTCTTGAGCTTACAAATTCTTTATATATTCTTAACACTAGACCCTTTGATGACCAGAACTATGGGCTGAGGTGTTTTCCAGGTGTTGTGTTTTGTGACATCGAAGAATGAACTATGTGGACCAGGAGATTTAAGTAAAAGTGTGGAAAATTTATTATAAGCAGATTCAGACTCCCTGCAAGGGGAGGAAGACCCAAGAGTGGGCTGCCCGTTAAAGCCTTGTATATATTTGCTACAAGTCTGCTTCTATGTCTATCTGTGTTATCACCTGATTAATCCCCTCAATTGTTTTTGCCCAGCAACAGACCTGAACTTTCCCTGTTTCTATATGCTCTTTCTCTGTTCCTGTGCTGAACTTTTTCTGTTTCTATGCGTTCGTCTATCTTGTTGCTACAGGCTCTCCCTTGTTTTTCCCATGCCTCCCGCTTTGAGTCCGGAAACATTTTATTATTTCTGCTTGGTTGGTTCCTGTGGTTAGGCTGGCTCAAACTGCCATGTCTACCCCTGCCTATGTTCTACCTGCCTTTGTTTTCAGCTGGAGCCCTGCCCTATCTGCCTGGATTTCAAGTTAGGCCTCTTATCTTTTTACGTATTTGAGTTGCAAAATTTTTTTCCATTCTGTGATCCATTGGCAGTTAATTTTTTGTATATGGTATGATATCAGGGTTCATTTTTATTCTTTCACATGTAAATATCCAGTTCCATTATCATGAATTCAAAAGACTATTCTTTCTTCCATTGAACTGTCTTGGAACTCTTGTCAAAAATTAATTTACCATGAATTTGAGGGTTTATTTCTAGACTCAATTGTAAGCCATTGATTTCTATATTTATCCTCATTGACAGTACCACATTTGATTAATGTAGCTTTTATATTAAGTTTTGAAATTAGGAAATTGTTCTTTTTTCAAGATTGTTTTGGATATTCTGGATCCTTGAATTTCCATGTGAATTTTAGAAATTTTAACATGTTAATTTCTGCAAAAACAACCATTGGAATTTTGACAGAGATTTCATTGAATCTGTAGGTCAACTGGGGAGTATTGCCATTTTAACAATATTAAGTCTTCAAATACATAAAATCTTTCTGTTACTTCTCACCTGAGAATACTTTTTTTCCATTGTTTTTTAAAGAGTAGAAGAGAAGGAGGGTGAGAGATTGAAACATCAATGTGAGAGAGACACATCGATTGGTTGTCTCCCACCTGTGCCCTGCTGGGGGACAGGGATTGATCCTGCAATCCCGATACCGGGAATTGAATCTGTGACCCTTTGGTGCGTGGGTGGATGCTCTAACTATTGAGCCAGTGACCAGGGCAATATAGGATATCTTTAAAAAAAAACACGCATATTTTTATTGATTTCAAAGAGGAAGCGAGAGGGGAAAAGAGATACAAGCATCAATGATAAGAGAGAATCATTGATAGGCTGCCTCCTACACATCCCCTATTGAGAATCGAGCCCACAACCTTGGGCATGTTCCCTTGACCAGAATTGAACCTGAGACCCTTCAGTCCTCAGACCAACGCTCTATCCACTGAGCCAAACCAACTAGCGCAAAGTAGCATAAATTTTAAGTGTTGTGCCTGCACTCTGTTTTTCCCATGACCCCTATTATTTGTAGTGCACAATTTTGCAGGACATGAAGTTTTTCACAAATGTATATATCATGCTATAGCTGTGGGAGAGGACAGATTTTTCTCTACTCTCAGGTTCTTTTGGCTAGTCTAATAATTAAATAGATATGAGTAGATCAGCAAAAGAAAATAAATTTAATATATACATATGTATGGGAAACCCACATATGTGAGAGAGTCAGAGACCCCCACATACATGAGAGTTTCTGAGATAGAAAGGGAGATTGAGCTATATAAGACTTCCTGAGCTAGGGATGAGGGAGGTACTTTGGGGGCTTCAAGATAATGGTCATTGCAAGATAAGAAGAGCAGGTGTTCAGGAAATAGAAGTTTGTCCTGCCCTACAGATAGGTCAAAAGAGGTTACTTCTAATATCACTTATTATGGGCAAGGCCTCTAATTTAAATTTTTCTAGGTAGTTAAGGGAGAGGCAGAAGTTTCTCTTCAGGGTGAGGCAAAAGTTATCTTTAGCTCAAAACAGTCTACGTACCACAGAGGCACATCTTGAGGTGACTCCCCATAACTCAAAGTAGAATGTTTAGCAACAGTGGCAGGACAATGAGATAGAGATGTTTATATAAACAGGAACTTTTGGTGTCATTCAAATCTCATTTTAAACAAATTCTCCTACTTCTCTTTTAGGAAGGGCTAATCAAGTCTGAGCCTCAGAAAATTTTCTTTATTAATAGTAATATTAATAAGTTAATATAGTTATTAATATCGTTAGCTTTTACCTAATGATGCTCAGTCCTCTAGGTGTCCCAGTCCTTTGATACTGTTGCTGCTGCCCAGTCCGCCAGTACGTGCTCTTCTTGTTCATTGCAAACCCATGAGGCCACTTAGCTTTGGTTTAGCCAGCCCCAGACTTCCCATTTAGTCACAATCCTGCAGTTTTGCAAGCTGTTGGTAAATTGTGTCCTCATGGTCAGTGCTTCCTAAACTTAACATTTATAAGAATCACATGGAGGGCTTGTTCAGTCACAAGTTCCTGGATGCCATCTCTGGAGCTTCTGACACGATATGATATGTTTGGGTTAAGTGAGAATTGGCATTTGTAACAAGCTCTCGGGTGATATTGATGCTGCTGGTACAATGGTCACATTTTGAGTGGCACTACTCAAATATCCTGCCATTAGCAGTATCTATCACTCACTCTGAGGCACCAGTTTCTTCCCTATCAAAACCTTGTTTGTGGGCGTGGGGGGGACGGGGGTTGGGGGAGTGGTGCACTATTGCATCAGCACAGTCATTTTCAACCAGGGGCAATTTTTATCCCCAGGAGACATTTGGCAATATCTGGAGACACTTTTTTGTTGCCCTAACTGGGTAAGAAGGCATGCTACTGGCATCTGGTAGGTAGAGGCCAGAGATGCTGCTCAACATCCTACAATGCACAAGGCAACTCCTTACCACAAAGAATTATCTGGCCCAAATTTCAATAGTGCTAAGGTTGAGAAACTTGGCATCAACATGATATTGCTTTTTTTGCCATTAGCATGAAATCCTTCTGATAGCCTATGAAGTGAAGATAGAGGTAAAGGAATGGTTGTGTTCTCTCCCCAAGCCCCGCTTTGTACAGTTCATAGAATACATAAATCTCAACTTTAAAACCAAGTGTTTGAATTATTACTTGTAGACATGATAACTTGTTTTCATATTCTTAACTTCTCCTTCTTAGGTCTGATGGCAGAATGGAAGACTTTACTAAAACTAGACCTTTGGACATTGGACCTATCTATTTCTTTGATCAGGTAATAATGTAGCTCAGTTTCATAAATTATAATTTACTTTTAAAAATATATTTCACTTTGACCAGTATTTTTCTCTACCTTTTAAATAGATTTATTTCATTTTAGATGAAACCAAAAAAGAAAAAATGGGAAAAGAGAGACCGCCTCCCCCATTTGGAGCGCACTTCAGAAGAAAAACATAGGTAAAACTTTTGGAATTACTCTGCATTGCTGGCATCACTGTATATTTTCAAAGGCTTATAAGGTGCTCAGAATCAATCCTTCCCTATTTCCTACCTTCTAAGAAACTACATCAAGAAATTACCATGTCAAAGCCGACTATGAAGTTAGTCAGAGAACTTTATTTTAGCCAGATTAGGATTAATTTAAGCATAATTGGTCAAATGGACCAGTCATCTGGTTTCTTTGCTATTCCATGACAAATCTAGCATGTTCTCTCCCTTCCCCCCGTCTCTCCCACCCTTTCTCCCTCTCCCTCCCTCTCTCCCTCCCCCTACCTCCTTTTCTCCCCCTTCTTCCCTTCTTCCCTCCCTTGGGGAGTTTACACTAGCTGTTCCTTCTGCTTTCAGCATTGCTTACTCCCCTTTCCTTGTCTTTATTTAAATACCACCTTTGTAGTGAGACTTTCTTGATTATCCTATTTCAAATTTCTACACCATCAACACCTTAGCAATTTCTATCCCCTTTCTAACTTTTCTGTTGCACTAAATCGCTTTTTAATATTGTAAATGATATCCCTATTTATTTGTCTTCTCATGAGAATATCAGGTCTACAAGGATTTTTTATCTCCTTGATCCCTTCTCTATCCCCAGTACCAAGAATAGTGCTTGGCACATAGGATGTGCTTAACAGATTTGTGATTAATAGCCATAGAATTGTGTTAGGACCACAAAGATGAATGAAATAATGGAACTAGTCATTTCACAATAGTTTTACCCTCTAGTTACCACAATTTAACTTGTGGAGTGGAAATTAAAGTATTCCCACCTATTTTAGAGCATATATCACAAGGCTAAATAAAGTTAAAAGTTGTTAATTTTACCAGTGAGTTCTCAAACAGGGGTGTTTCACCCTACAAGGGACATTTAGTAATTTCTGGAGACGTTTTTGTTTGTCACAACAAGGGGGATATGGTGTTATCATCTTCTGGTATATAGAGACCAAGGTTGCTGCTAAACATCCTACAATACACAGGACAGCACCTTCAACTGAGAATTATCTGATCCGAAATGTCAGCATTTCAGATTGAAAAGCTGGGCTACACATTAAATATTGTGTGTGTGTGTGTGGGGGGGGGGGGGGTTGAGCAGTTTGAACTTTTCTCAAGACCATTACAAGTTGCTGTTATTTCCAGAAGTCTGTTGTCTTTTCATTTCCAACTCTTTCTGTTTTTGAAAAGCAGTTCAATATAATGTGATCATTTTGTTTTCACATTGCTTGGCTTATAATTGGTAATTAATGAGTCATATTGTCATATGAGCAATCAGTAGGTCTGTTTGTCATAGAGCTTGAGGGGTTTATTGGCTGCCCAGCTTTCTCATTTAATACATTCCTCAAGGTATGTGCTAAGCATTGCTCCTGTCCACTCTGCTTGGAAACATCCCATTTCTCCCACCAGCTATCCTGCTGCAATTGCACCAAAAACAAACTCCATACTTGTTACCATGAACTGCAAGCCCTTCTGTGATTTCTTTTTTTATTTTTAATTAAATCTTTATTGTTCAGATTATTACAGTTGTTTCTCTTTTTTCCCCCCATAGCTCCCCTCAACCCGGTCCAACCCCCACCCTCTGTCCTTACCCCCCCCCAACTGTTCTCATCCATAGGTGTACGATTTTTGTCCAGTCTCTTCCCACACCCCCACACTCCTTTACCCACGAGAATTGTCAGTCCACTCCCTTTCTATGCCCCTGATTCGATTCTATTCACCAGTTTATTCTGTTCATCAGGTTTTTTATTCACTTGATTTTTAGATTCATTTGTTGATAGATATGTGTTTGTTGTCACTTTGTTGTTCATAATTTTTATCTTTACCTTTTTCTTCTTCCTCTTGTTA